AGCACGCGCTGTACCAGAGGCTGAGCCAAAGAGGATCCAGGCAGAAACTTGCCGCATGCACGGTCAGGAGAACAGATGGGCTTCCTCTAGGCCCGCGATGTACATGAGGCAAGACCAGATCAGTTGAGAGATGTTGCGACAGATCCGGAATCGGAAAGCATCGAGAGCAAGCCAGCCTGGGCTCCGAGCCCACTTCACCGGATTGCTCCCAAAGTCCATGCCGCGCGACAGCCGGTCCTCATGGAGGCAGGGGTCAGGGGTTTCAGCATAGGCTTTGCAGATCCAGGGCGTGGGCGCAACGAACTGGAGCAAAAGGCCACGGCAAAGGCCATCCGCAACTCCCGAACTCCTAAACCCGAGAAGCTGAAACCATCACCCCGCCGGGCCCCAGGCCGTGCAGATAAGGATGCGACGCTTGAAGAAATCAGCTGCAGGGACCTGAAGGGAAATCTCATTCAACAATAACTCAAGGCAAACTGCGATGTAGCATATCACATCTGACAGTTCAGGGTGCCAGAGATCTGGGTTTTGTGAAGTCCCCGAAACGCTGCCCTAACCCCCGGCCCGAAAGCTCCGAAATCCTAAAACCTGAACTCTGGCCTCTCGTCAGCCCTAAAGCCCTCCCCTCTTGCAAAGGCCTTCTCTGTGCTGAAGAGATCCATGTTCCGCTGGTACTCCTCCGGTTCGGGGGCTCTGCGGATGCAGGGTTTCGGGGTTTCGGGTTTCAGGTCTAAGTCTGTAGGGAATTAGGACAGTGGGTTCGGGGTCTTGAAAAGCGGGCCTGAGAGAGCCTGCCATCTCAAAGCCCCTGAGGCCGAAACCCGCTTCAGCTCCCAACCTTGAACTCGAAACCCCGACAAAAAAACGTAAGATCCGAGAGATGGAGCGAGCACCGAGTCCCTGATATAGGGGCCTTAAAAACTTGAATACGTTCGAATATAGGGTTTTCAGGTACTCTATACTTATCTAGGGACTTTAAGGGATACTATGACAGCTCCAATGCTTAATTTACAGCCTCAATCCAAAACCCGATTATTGAGTCGTGTAGGCGAATGATTAGAATAGGGTTTTGGGGCATCTTCTACTACAACTATAATAAGGAACACCCAAAACAGTAGAGATACTTACTTCGGCCCCTATATTATTCTGACCCTTCTCTTCGTCGTTCTTCGACTCACCAGGTCCTTCTTGTCCCGAAGCCCATGGAGGACCAGCAGCTGCGATTCAAGAAGGAGAGGCAACACACTCTGGGTTGAGGGCTGAAGGATTGGGCTGTTCTTTTCGAATCTTAAGGGTTTGGGCTTAGGGTGGCTTGTGGCTTGGATGGTGGTTTGTGGCTTGGATCTCGGCTTCAGCGCTTTGGGGCTTCACGCCTGAACAGACTTACGGGCTAGGCTTCAGGGCTTTGCGGATTCGTGGAACATTGAGTAGTGCCTTCCACCAGAATCTTCAGGCGATGGCCGGCTATGGCTACCGAGCATTCGGATATGCCTTCGGGGCTATGAGGCTATAGGGTTGCTGGGATCTATAAATGCTTTGGACTACTGGTTTGGGATTTGTGGAGATGGGAAGCTTCTGATTTGGATGCAGGACTCTCAGAGCTCGGGTGTCACGGGAGGGTGTAGGGTTTTGGTATCTTTAGGCTTCAGGGTTGGGTGTAGGACCTTGTAGGATGATAAAGGGATGTTTGAGCCCCGGTGATGGACCTCTCGACCCAAACACGCCAGAACCCTACCACGCTTGCGATGTTGACCCTCTGCTGACACCGACCTTTTGAACCAAACCCCGGCCAAAAGATCGTAAAGCTGCGGAGCCACACAAGAATGACAGTCGCAACGGCGCAACAGACGCAACAGCAGCAGCAACAAGAAACATAACAATAACAATAACAACAACAACTATAGCAAACGCTTGCCACCTTAGCATCGGTTCGTGACGCCACGTCGGACGCGCATTTCGAATGCCACCCCGAGCCTCCATACCGTCCCCGGGACGCAGCCAGTGCATAGCTTGTACAACAATGATTCCCAGCAGCACGGAAAAATTAAACAGACAGTTTGGACCTCTGGGAGGACGTCAGGGATAGATTGGGATGTGCTGTAAGTACTGGGCGTTTTGCAAGTGCCAAAAGCACATTTCGCTGGATCTTTTTGCGCTGGGAGCAGTGTCTGCACAGACCATGTTCTATGCCAACGCTTTTCCGGCCTGGGTAGATGCATGTTGCAGTCTTACCTTTTGTCTTGGAGCACTCTGTTTTCCGGGGCTGGTTTACTATTTCTTGAACCTCGTAAGCAAAACTTGGATGGAAGCGAAATCGCCTCGCATCGATCCTGCTGTCCTGAGGAGGCTTTGGGGCCAGCCTTGGGAAGTCGAACGAATGTGGACGAAGCTCTTTCTAAACTCTAAACCTTTCATTTGACAGACCCCAGACGGCCTGGGCAAAAATGCATTTTGAAGACGCCCAGAAATGTGTTTGATCCTTGCTTTAAGTGTAATTTCAGGACGTGCTGTCGAATGCCGAGATGCGCGTCCCGACGACGCTAAGCTGCCGTACTAATAGCATCAGAATTTCTGAGTATGCAAATGCTGACAGCGATCGTGGTGATGATGATGATGATGATCATGATCATGATGATGAGGATGATGATGATGATGATGATCATGATGATGATGATGATGATGATGACGATGACGATGATGACGATGATGACGATGACGACGATGACGATGATGACGATGATGACGATGATGACGATGATGATGACGATTATGATGATGATGATGCTGATGATGATGATGACGGTGCTCATCATCGTGAATCATCGTGGGTGGCGAAGGGCATGACGATGATGATCATGATGATGATCAATGAGACCGATGACAACACTACCAGCAACAGCTGCATAAAACATCAACCATGGAAAGACTAGTCACGATCATGAGGATTATGGCAGAAGCAACCATGCTACTCGCAGTAACTACAACCAATAGCAACATCGGTGGGAGCCAGAAGAGCAAGTAGTAGTACTGATAGTGAATGATCGTAACACCACGAAGACCTACAGGAGATCTCCAGACCTACAGGGGATCTCTACACCCCAATCCCGAATGTCTGTGCACCTTCCACTGCTTGCCCCCGCTACGCTCGTCGTCAGGATTGCGTTCGTCCAGCCTGGGCGTAACTTCTCAAGGTCCCAACTGATGCGCTTCGCTTTCGGGGTGTCAGCTCTTGAACTGCTGGCTGGCTGAAAGGATTCCTGACAAGTCCCCATCTCAGACGCATGGCCACGCTGACTGTACTCTCTGGTCAACTTGGAACGCTCGTGCGCGCGGACATGCCGTTGATCTCAAGTCAAACGATTGCACTGCTAGCGTTAATGGCTCAGCAAGACAGCTACCGGTCCACGCACGACTTTGGCTGCTATACTTATATTACGTGTATACTATGAGACGATGATTCCCATCATAGCAGGCTTTGCTTTTGCTGCCAGTACTACTTTCAGTTACCAGCACTACCCGGGCTACCCAGTAGTAGCGCTAGGCACTAGCTGCACTGGCCATTCCACTAGCACGATACTTGTCTTGCGATGGCCATCATTGTTGCTACTGCTTCCATACTACTAGTCAGCATTATTAGTGACACCGTGTCTGTGTAGCTTGAAAGGTTGAGCGGGCAAGTCTTGCACCTCCAAGCCTGAGTCCTAGGCCTTAGGCCTGAGGCTTCATGGACCCGGAACCAAAATCCCTAAACCATGAACCTTCATCTCTCAACATCGATCCTTAAAACAGCCAAATTTCAAGTTTTGAGTTCTTGAACCTCCTGCTGCATGACACATGCGGAGCAGTAGAGACATCGGCAATGGGAGTCCTGATCCTTTCAATCCCAAGCAGTCCTGCCGCTACAAACCACGGCACAGCTTCCGGCCGTGGCAGCTAAGGGGAAGGCGCTTCGTAAACTCTGGAGCAGTTGCTGATGGTGTTGCAGAAGATCATGACCTCAGCGCAAATGATGGTCTTCCTAGCGGGAGTCCCTAAATCCCACAGTCGCGCCCTCAATATCCGACCAGCCCACCAACTCGGATAATAATAGAACCTTACGCATTTCGATCCCCTAGCCGTAGCCTGAGGATAACTTCCCTGTGAACATACAGCACGAAGAAGCATGGGCGAGTTCACAAGAACTGTTTCACCTGCATGGAGAAAGACCAGACAACAGTTGGACCAAGATATCAACCACACAGAGCACTCAGCAGCAGCAGCAGCAGCAGCAGCAGCAGCAGCAGCAGCAGCAGCAGCACTAGCGAAAGCAGGAGTCGGAGTCGAGGTGGTAGTAGTGACAAGTCTTGGCTAGACTGGCTAATGTAGGGGCCTATTGTACTATAGTAACGACAATAAGGAACCCGCCCAAAAATAGTAAAAAAGTCCTTCTGAAGGCCCCCTGAAGTAACTATAGTAGACTCCCTCTCTGCCCCCTTTCAGCCGGGTCCCCAGCGCGGTTGTCGCTCTCCTCGCACAGCACCCCTTTCTCGAGGTGCCAGGCCTCAGGACTGCAGATCCTGTCGTGTCATAATCTAAGTGGGTGGTTTTAGGGTTTAGGGTTTAGGGTTTAGGGTTTAGGGGTTTAGGGTTTAGGGTTCAGGGTTTTTGGGTCCGTAATATAATACGGCACCTAGTATTTAGGGTACCCAAAAAGGGACCCTAATTTTGACAACCACCCAAGTATGTTTTTACTAACGTAAAGGAATATACTGATCGCATACTAGGATATAACAGACTATACTGACTATATTATAGTGTTTAAGTTATATAACAGTATATTACCGTATGCTACTGTATATTGCAGAATAGTCTAGTCTCGTCTCGTCTCGTCTAGTCCAGGAGTCTAGGGTTTAGAGGTCGATCTCACACCCGTCGGAGTTATTTATACTCCGAAACTCTGGGTGAGACCCCAGTTTTCCTGCAGCTCCCGTCTTGTCCGGCTCTGTCTTAGCATCATCCCAACAGCCTCAAACCACCCGGTCAGCCCAAAGAACAGTTCAAAACAACACCCTCAAAGCAACGCCCGCTCTTTCCAGGCCCAGAGACCGAAACGTCACAAGGGGAAAAATTGCGAGGAACCGATGCAACACCGCAAATCCCTATGGCCTGAAGCCCTTAAACTCCCTCAGAAAGCCTCGACTGGGCTTCCCGCCAGTGCGCCGATCTTGGCCTTCATCACTGCGTCCAGCCGCGCACTTAGAGGAGCAGGAGCACGGAAGGTTTGACAGTTTTTCGTGGCCGACCCGTAGGCTTTGCCCTAAAGGCCTTAAACCCCATGCTCGAAAACGAGCTTGCTTGGAGCTTCTTGGGCCCTTTCGGGCAATGGGAGCTGACGCCGGTGGAAAGGGCATCCCAAAGGGCGCAGTCAGTGGCCACTTGCCTAGTAGTTCAATAGGGATCCTATTATTTAGGGTACTATATTAGGGTCCTTATAATAGGGATCCTATCATTTAGGGTACTGTATTCGGGGGTGGCTGATAGCCTCTGGGTTTTGCTCATTCAACTGCTGGGGCAATGCTTCGACGTTGGTGGGTCGTTTGTGCCTGCGTCGCAGATGAACCAGTGACAACTAGTGTATCACACAGCCCGCGAGCAGAACTCATGACCGACGGGCAATGGTCGGTGAAACCTCCTAGCCCTCCCCGTGAGACCCGAAGCTTAAAATCTCACGTCCAACATTTTCGGAAGTCTTCCTGAGTGCCCGTCGAACACTACAAAGGATTGTGGGTGCAACACTGCATGGCATGAAGATCCCCTAGAAATACTGAAGATCTGCAGAGATAGTATCAGTCGCCGCTGGCCATTATTCTGACTTCGTGAACATGTATCTGGCAATGAGCATTATTTACCAAGCACAGACGTCGCCATCGAACATGAATCGTGAACCTCCTTTGACTTGCGTAACCCTATAGTAACCCGTACAGTAACCTAAACAAAGGTAGTGGTTGACTAGCCATGCTTCCGACAATGCTACAGGTGAGAATCATCCCACAACCCCCAAGGCATCAGGTTTGTCTAATCTCCAAGCGGCGAGTTCGGAAGGTTGTAGAGGCTCTTTGGCGTGCAGTCGACCAGCACATGCTCACCTTGGATTTGAGAGAAGGACGCTTTGAAACTTTGGAACCCACAGATAAGCAGCTGGGAAGCTCTTTCAGCGCTGCCAAAGTTCCGATGGAAGGAGAGGCAGAGGAGATGACCACAGTGGGGATGCTGGTGATGCTGCATGACGATGGTGATAGCCGCTGCCGCTCCCATCACCATGACCACCATCATCCTCTTCTTCTTCGAACAGCAGGAGAAGCGGCAGCAGCAGCAGCGGCAGCCGCAGCCGTCGTATTCAAATCATCATCATCATCATCATCATCATCATCATCATCACCGCACCTATCAGACCATCATCGCCACAAATGCCATGATCATTATCAGAAGCAACAGCATCCTCTTCTTTCTCTTGACGAACGCCTAACGTTTCTTCATGATTAGCTGATTGTTGTAATTTCTGTTGCCATGCTCACACTATTACCTGCTTAATACGTTCTGACTTCTATTGCCACCACGAATACCACCACGGTTCGATCCTCCTTCTCAGAGTCTTTATTTGCCTTTCGAGCGATTTGCTTCCCTTTTTTCAGCTTCTCTATGCTTCTTTAGTCCCTGTCGAGCTGCGCCAGTCCCTCGAACGGCTCTGAGATTCTCTAGTCCCGTTCGAACGGTTTCTCATCCGTTTCGAGCACATTGCTCCTCTATCTCACCACCACTGCTCCCTTTCAAACGGTTCACGCCACTCTCAGATTCTCGAGTCCCTTTCAAACGGTTTGCTCCTGTTTCCCAGTTTCCCCCATCCGTTTCGAGCGGTTCGCTCCTTCTTCTCAGATTCGCTAATCCCTTTCCAAGGGCTCGTTCTTCTGTCCCGGATTCTCTAGTCACTGTCGAAAAGTTTGCTCCTCTGTCTGAGAAGCTCCAGTCCCTTTCGAAAGAGGAGCGACCGGGGAAAGAAGAGCGAACTGCTCGACACAGACCGGGGACTGAGAAAACAAGCGAACCGCTCGAACTGACCAGAAATGCAAGCAACAGGAGCAAACCAGCAAACCACTCGAAGGCGCATAGAGGCTCTGGGAAAGAGGGGCGAACCGTTCGAAAGGGACTAGAGCATCTGAGAGCAAGGAGCGAATCACTCGAAAGGGACTCGAAAATCTGAGAAGGAGGAGCGAACCTCTCGAGAGGAAACAACGACTCTGAGAGAAAGGAGCGAACCGTTCGAAAGGGACTAGAGAATCTGAGAAAGAGGCGCCAACCTTTCAAAAAGAAATAGAGACTCTGAGAAAGAGGAGCAAGCCGTTCGAGCCGTTGAAAAAGGGCGAGTCTGAGCAAGAGGAGAGAATCCTTCCAAAGGGACCTGAGAATCTGAGAAGCAGAAGCGAATCAATGGAAAGGACTGGATAATCTGAGAAAGAGGAACGAACCGCTCGAAAAGGAATAGCACGAATCTGATAGAAAGAAGCGGACCGCTCGAAAAGGACTGGAGAATCTGAGAAAGAGGAGCGAACCGCACGAAAGGTACCACTCGAAAGAAACCAAAGAATTTGAGAAACAGCAGGAAGGCCTAGAAACAGTAGGAAGGTGACGAGACAACCTGAGAAAGAGCAGGGAACTGCTCGAAATGGACAATAGGAGGAATCTGAGAGAAAGGAGCGAACCGCTCACAAATAAAATCAAGTGACGGGAGGACGTGAGAAACACGGGCGAACGGCTCGAAAGGGACTGGACAGAAAGCCAACCGTTGGAAAGGGACTTGTGACTCTAGCGAATCTCAGGAAAGGGAACGACCCACTCGAAAGGAACTGGAGAATCTGAGAAAAAGAAGCCGAACGAACAGTAGAAGAGGAAGGTGACTAGAAAATCTGAGAAAGGGGAGCGAACCGCTCGAAAGTTAGCTAAAGCCTATCCTCAAAGATACAAAACCCCAATTAAACCCATATCTGAGCCCTAAAACCCTAAACAGCAAGAAAAAAACACAAGCCATCAAACCCCAACCATGAAACCCTGAACCCTAAACCCTAAAACCCTAAACAACAAAAAAACACAAGCCCTAAAACCCTAAACCCTGAAACCCTAAAACCATGAAACCCTGAACCCCAAGCCCTAAACCCCTAAAGCCGCATGAAACACTGAACCTTACGCTGGCTGGGCCGGCCACAGTTCTGCGGCACGCGATGCAGGCCAGGGCCTCCAAAGAGGCAGCTCGGTCCCCAGAGACGCAGGGCTTTAGGGTTGTAATGTAGGGGCCTTAACAATTAGAATAGAATAGGGTTTTGGGGGTTCCTTATTATATATTGCAATACAATATACCCCGAAACCCTATTCCAATTATTCAGGCCCCTTTATTAGGGTTTTGGGATGTTTTGGGTTTAGGGTTCTCTGAAGGCTGAGGGCTTTCAGGGCTTAAGGTCAAAATAAGGAAACCTTCCTGAAATCGTCGTGTAGGGGCTAGGAATATGGGGCCCGTGATTGAGAGATACTGGAGCCTCGGACTCTTTGCAACTTGCAGTGGCTCTGTTACACTGCTACTGGTACGAGGCTGTGACAGGCGCGCCCAGAGCTCAAAGCTCCGAAGGACCTTCTCGACACGTTAAGGATCCTTCATGACGAATTGAGGGCTCTGGGCATGTTTTGTTGCTATGTTCTCCGTCATCTTTTGGGCTTTTGAGGATATCAACACTATTTACTAGTTCAGGCCTCGATATTGCGACTTCACATTCTGCAAGCCTGCTCGCTGGACCTACTTTGGAGATTTTGGCTTGAAAAGCAGGAAACTCGCAAGCTTCAGAATCGGATCCCGATGCATGGCTGACTTTGCTCTGGGTAGGGGTTTGATGGGCCGTACACTCTGCTACTAGCCAGTAGGCAGGAAATGATGCCAAAACCTATTCAGGCACCAATATGGTCGTTCTAGCAAAGGGGGTTATGGAGGAATGGCGCAGGCACCCCAAACTCTGAACGAGGCAGTTTCAGGTGTCAGGCTCTTGGCCCTAATGTTCTGTCCCTTAACCTCCAAACCCGGAAACACTAGAGCCTACTACACCCTACTGAACTTTCAACGAAACCCTACTAAACCCCATAAACTCTAAACCCTACTAACCCCTACTAAACCCTAAAGCCTACTATAAAACCCCTAAGCCTAAACCCTACTAAACCC